ATCGGGTATCCTTCTGCCAAGTTTAGTTTCACATAATGGTTACGGTTAACGTACCCAATTGCAAATTTTACATGTTGATACCATGGTGGGGAAGTAGACCTAAACGGTAAGTATGTTGAATAACCTGTAATGTCTATAACTTTGAAGCAATTAGGACACCAATTTCAGGCATAGTCATCCAATGTTCAATTGGGGCACCTCGATCTAACTGAAAGAAGTTTAAAATATTGTAAACTATATTCCAATACTGACTTCCAAATATGTTGAGGTATTTTGTCTTGTATGCGTCTAACTCTTCCATCAAGTTAAACCGAATTGTTGGCCATGCATATTCATAAAGACCAAGGTGGACAGTTATTGCTCGAAATCCACAATTTCCATCACCTCTCACATCATGTACCTGTCTGATGTAAGGGTGAAACATTTCAAGAAATTGATTAACATATGGATGCGCATTATAATTATTGTTGACGAAAGAACTATGTCTCGCTGGTTCCTTGTAGCTTATTTCATTCAAGTCAACAATTGATGATGCGTTCGAACAGCTACGTGTAAGGGGTCTTTCAGCTGTAAAAGACGGATCAACATGAGGTTTTCTGAAAAGTTTATCCTTCAACGAGGGACGTCCACGAGTAGTCTTGTTAACAACTGGTTCACGAACCCACGTTTTTTATGCATTGGTTATCTTTTTTATCTTTCTTAGAAAACTAAACTTACTAGATCTCGATTGTTTTTTAAATTCCTCGGTAAATATTTGGACTTCATCTTCACAACCAATATCATCATGTTGTAAAGATTGGCACGATGATAAATCAAGCTTTGTCCAAAATACATCAATTGAATCAATTGGGATAGGATGACCTTTGTTGGAATATAGCATTTGTTCATACGCACATGGCAATCCATAACTTGTACGTAGTAGACAATTACAATTTCCAAAGAATAAGCCAACAAATTGAGCATGTCGATATTCCTAGAATATTATGTCTAATGCATAAAGTGAAACAAAACCACACAGTTGTTGGAAGTGTGGTATGCGATGAAGATGTTTCGTGACTCTTCTGCTCTCTTCAATACTTGCTTTAATTTCTATATCTTGGGACTGAATGAGTTGATTGATCTTGCTCATAAATGTCGATAGACTTGATTGCGCAGAATCCAAGTAAGTTTTCAACTTGGAATGTTGGCTCTCCACTTTGTTACTTGTCTGATTTCCGAAGTGGAGAAATTTGTTAAAATACTGAATAGTTTTTTTGACTTAATTATATTATTATATATTATATATACTGTAAAAAATATTTTTAATATTTACGATTTATACTTTTATAGTTATTTATTTAATTTATGATACGTCATTTATTTTTACACCATTATCACATTAAAATACATTATACTTAATTAATTTATTTTTAAAATCTATTTTTACACTTTTATCACATTAACATACATAAACATATATTAGCTAAAATACGTTAAAAAAACGTTTTATTTTAACAAATTAATCGTCTCCTTAATCTCCTCGAAATGAACTCAATAATGAATATTATTTGATTTAATTATATTATTATAATCGTATTTTCTATACCTTTGAAATGAACACAATCGAAACTTGTATTTATATTATGTTCATAAAAAAAACTTCTAAATTGACATTTTTAAAAATATTTAAGTAACTAAGGTTAAATTTTAATATT